TTTTTAGGAGTTAGCATAGCACTTGGAAAATCAAACTGTGTCATGAATAAGCAGTAAGGAATGTCTTGAACATTCTAGAATGTACACTCCAAAGTGTGATTCTGAGGGTTTGTGTCCTGGTATCATGGATCTGAGCTATGAAAGGGACCAACAACCTCCACCTGTGGGGAGAATAGGGGAATGCAGTGCTGAGGGCAGGATTCCCAGGGGTTCACAACTCTCCACTCTGCAATTTATTGCTGAGACTGGAAATTATAAGAAAATCTATAGACATTGGGAAAAACATTGTAAAAACTACCAACCATTCTGAAGTTAACTGCAAGGAATATGTTATTAAGGTAGCAAGCAACAGAATATTGTAAATAATTCTTAAATGTTGATAGAGATAACAAGTGCTGCCTTGTGAATAAACAAGAGCAATCAGAGTGTGTGGAGTGGCTACTGTAATGGAGAACTCTGTCTTGCAACTAATTTTCACATTCACTGTTTAAAGGGTCATTTGGAAAGTAATTGTTCTTCTTCTTATGTGCTCACTAGCTCACATTTAGAAATATTTCTCTTAAAATATTTCTTTCCTACTTATGCTATTAGAATTGTTCTCTGTATGTGGAGCTATGTACGTGCACATGTATATTTAAATTATATAAATTCTTTAGTTTATAAAAAAAGAAAGAAATGCAAGCTTAACATTTGTGCAAATAATTATTTCCTTTTCTGAACACTAAGAACAGAAATTGCAAGGTGAGGTTACTTCTACCCAGAGATGAATACATGATATTTTCCCAGCAGAAGTGCTTTATTCCTTGCACTGGACATTCTGAAGCTGTGGGAGGGATGTCGACACGCTCTCTGGGTCTGCTGCACAGAAATCCAGAGGGGTCTCCAGTGGAGGCTTTGAGGAGGTTCATGACCCAGGAAAGGGTGGTATGGGCACCAGGTGGCCTCCAGGGTGCCTTCCCTCACTCTCTCACCAGCATCAACCTTGTTGCAGTCATACTGAATCCTTATCTGGTTGAAGATGAAACCCTTTGGTGTGCAGACCTGGGTCACTTGCTACAGTGTGGACCCAAGGCTGAAGGCACCTGTGCTGGAGTGCTCAGCTCCCCAGGATATCATACCAGGGCATGGAAAGGCTTGCTAAGCCCCAGGGGGAAATAGACAGAGGATGGTGTGCCAGGGATATTCCAGCTCCTTCCCCATCCCCAGTGGAAGTGAGATTAGCTCTAGTGTTACTTTAGCTCTGGGGTTCAGATCGGAAAGACACTGAGGACTTCTGAACCCTTCACTCCACGGCTTCCCAGAAAGCCTTGATACTCTGAAAACAACAAATGCAAGAAGATTTCATAGCAATTGGGATATTCCCAGTGGGATTGGGCTGACACTACTTTGGGATTCTGCCCCACTGGGGATCAGGAACCCCAACCATTGGATTGTATGCATATCCATCTCTTTTCTTACTTCCTAGTTCTTTAAAAACAAGGAACACTAGAATAAACAAAGAAAGAGCCTTCTTCTGATCCCATATGGAAATGGACAGAATATATGAAGCCAGACTGAGGCCTGACCCCAGCCTGGGCCTCCTACCCATGCCGGGCCATGGCTGAGCCCCATACAGAGAATGAGGCCATGGGCCAGAACACTTTCCACCCCACCTTCCCAGCCTAGGATTTTCTGCCACTCCTTAATAAATATATCTCAACACTCCATGGGCAGCAGTTGGCTGGCCATGATCACACACTCCTTATCAACCCTTACTTATTTAATCTTAGTTTTACTAAAACCATTTGGGTAAATCTCATGTACTGTGAGAAATTATTAAGGTTAATTTTCTTTAATTTGAGAAGCTCAACAAGGCTAACACAAAGATACTAAAACAGTTAGTATCCTGACAGTCATACATTAGTGTCAAGCCTGGCCCTAGGGCAGATGTTGGCCTATGGGACGTGACAGTCTTGTGAGGGCTATGACCTGTTAGAATTCATACAGTGATGGGTTCACATGCTAATGATTTTGGGGAACTTTGTGATATAAGTAAATTCTCTCAATGTCCCCTGGCCACTTAGATGTTAGTGCTTTGCACCATGATGTTCTGCCTTATCAGGGACCCAGACACAATAAAGCCACATGACCACAGACAAAAAACAAAGTAAACCTTTGGTCCTTTTTACTTGTTTCTCTCAGGTGTTTTGTCATGGCAACTGAAAAATGTGAATCAACAGAATATCCCTTCATCTAAAGAACTAGAAATTTTATTTTTAATTTTTACATTGTTTTCTAGTCACAGAACCATTTTCTTTGGAAGATGTCACACTTAATAACACAAGCAACAAGCAACACAAATGTGTTATATAGACTATTAATATGGTAGTTGGGCTAAAAAGTGATATATATGTATACACACACAAACACACACACTTATTTACTTTTTGTAATGTTGTTATTTTTTCCATCATATCATTGAAGAAAATGTATCTTGGAATTATGGTAATGTGTTCATCTAGGTTAATGTCCAGGCAGCAGATGGTCTGGCATGTTCAGGGCGGGTGAGCACAGCTGTTAATCTGTCTCTCCGTGTGGTCTAACCCCAGGAAACCAGGGAAGAAAGCCAGACCTCAATGCCAGGAAGAATATGGTGTGCTGCTACTTACTTCTGGAAAACCCCCACCAGCAGACCAGTGTAAGCCTTTGAGTATCTCTAATTGACAGAGGCTGCTGGGACATGTAGGCTGTGCTGAGAACTATAAGGGAAGAATTTTGAAATCAAATAGAATTTGTAACTAAAGATCTGCACTTAGTAATTTAATTGAATATGCTCTGAGACATGCTTCTCTAATGTGGGAGCAGTGTAACTGATGTGCCCAGGAGCACATGGGCTTAGAGGCCATGTGTGCAGCCTGTAGTGTGGAGTTAGCTTTCAGAACATGCAAAATGTCAGGGCAGGACATGCAGGTCCTCCAGAGCCTAGACTCCAGGCTCTGCAGACTGCATCCAAGCCCTCCAGCTTGCAGTGTACCATAAATAAGCTTCAGGCCAATTGTTATTTTTTAGTCAAAGGGAAAACTGAAAGCTCTCCAAGTGGACTCAGGCACATGACAGGGTGTGAGATGGCGCATATGTATCTGTTGTCTTTGGGTGTGTTTCTGGGAGGAAAGCACATCAGGCATGCCACCCCCCCGCTGTGGCACTTGTCAGGGTGACCATGTGAACCCCTGTGAAACGGTGCTTCTGTGTCCTGGTGAGCACATCATGGTGCCTGACATGTGGATGGACTTGGGGGTTTAGGGCCATGATGCCAGGGAGGTTTCTCCTGAGCTGTGCTGTGAACCACAGAGCAGTTCAGTGCTGGCCTAGGCACCGGTAGGGCCTGTGGTCTCCTCTCCAAGAACCTCCTAGAGCCAGACCTTCTCTACCACAGAACCACACCTTCTCAGAAAATCCCCTCCAACATCACTGCCTTCCATGGCCCCCACATTTTCCATTATGCTCCAAAAGCATTAATTGATTCAGGAGAACATGAGATGCCAAGGTTAGCACCCAAGAGCCCCTTCCCTGGGAGCCCCATAGTGACATCTTCCACTCTTTTTCAGAGTTGTGCTGCTGGGCTGAGAGTGTGCTCCAGTTCTCCTACCAGTCCCAGCCTTGACCCTTGCTTCAGCAGGAGCTGATGGTGTTTTGCTCTCCATGTCTCTGTCCCTTCCTGATGATGGCCATGCCCCCAGCAGCACTGAACAGCATGTGATGCCCTACTGGAGTTTACAGGAACATCACCACACTCATGGATGTTGAGTTGCACTAGCTCTGAAGCCTCACACCTTCCTCTGTCCCTCTCCATGTCTTGAAAACATTTTATTTCACTATTCCCTAACTATTTCCCCTGGCACTGGGGGCAAGGGAATATCATCCCTGAGATGGGACCCTGGAAGAAAAATCAATGTCAGAGGGAAGGCCTGGATTCAGGCAGAGCTGGCCTGCACTAGACATTGCTAACACTGCTGAGGGGAACACTGGGTTCATGCTGCATAGATGGGTTGCAGGATGAAGGATGTCAGGCTTCAGACACAAGTATGAGTCCTTCCAGAAGGGAGCTGAGGCTCTGAATATCAGTGAGTTTCCTGAGAGAGATTATGGGAGAAAGCATCAAGATCACACACTGCTCATGATGCCACAACTCTGGTTACTGATGGACCCTTCAGAAAGGGTGAACCATACATTGGCTTCCTGTCATGCTTTTCTCTCTGCAGGGTGATTTCTTTTGTCTAAAATATGTCCTGTGGGGTTACCCATGAGAAAGTGAAGGTTAGCTGTGTTGAGCTGCAGCCTCCAGAACCCAGGACCTTGGAGTGGGGGTGAAGTTCTTGCTTCCTTCTGGGCAGCTATACCTGCACAGCCCCTTGAGCACTCTTGTAACACTTCCACAAGGGTCTGTGTCTTTGGGGTGCTCCATGCTGCCCTGGACAGGACACACAGCTCAGGGCTGGACCAGCAGGATATAGAAGCCTCCATCCCCCTTGACTCCCATCAGATTCCAGCATCAGGACTATACAGCTCCCACCCTTCAGGCTGAAGCTCAGTCCAGGCAGGACAGGAACTGTGTGGCTATTGTGGACATCTCTTGCCTGCTGCCATGATGGTCTAACATCCACATGTGTTCTGGTGCTCCATGGAGCTTCCCAGGGTGATGAGATGTGACCTCAGGTGATGAGATAGGACCTCAGGCACACTTCACGTTGGGTTATGGGTTTCAGTGTAACTGAGGCACTCTCTGCTTTTTCTCCACACATGCATGCACAATACATACTCAAAAGACTTTATATATTTTTATGTTTTATTACAGCAAATTGGTAGATGTTAGAATTCAAAAGATAACCATAAAATGATAACTTATTTTGAAGTTGGTCCCAAGAAAACTTTAAAAGAGACACAATAAAAAGCATTTAGAGGGACTGAGGTTGTGGCTCAACACTAGAGCACTCACCTAGTATGTGCGAGTTGCTGGGTTCAATCCTCAGCACCACATAAAAATAAAAACAAATAAAAATATAAGTATTGTGTCCAATTACAACTATAAATTTTTTAAAAAAGAATTTAGAAAGAAAAAAATAGAAAAAAATATGAATCACTTAAATCCTTCATCAACACCAAATAACTTCTACCTGCGCCTTACGACGAGGTGGTCCTGCCTTGGACGACATGCTGCCTGTTCAGAAGATGATTAAAACCTGCCCAGCAGTGAGCTGCCCATGCCCTAGCAGCATAGCTGGCTCTGTCCCTCAGAAATCCCTCAACCCCATGGCCAGGATCCATGCTGACCACACCTGCATCCCCACAGCGAGGCTCAGGGCTGACCACATCTGCATTGCTCTTGGCTATTTTTGGTGTGCATCTGGACAATTTTGTTCATTTTCATTTCTCTTTGTAAATATGCTCCTAAACTCAGTGTTTTCCAGGGGTTTAATAGTTATAGTCTTACATCTTTGTTCTTTGAGGCTTGCCCATGAGAGGATTGATTAAAAGGTGCATTATTCTCAGTTAAGAGCTGTAGAGACCAAGCCGCTGCTGATCCAGGATGGTGACACTATGCTGAAAGCAGATGGACTATATTGTGACAGCCCCTGCAGGGGTGGAAGGGCAGTGCTGGGGACCCATGCACACCACAAGCAGGCGCTGACTCCTGGTGAGCATAACACAGGGCTTCCTAACATGAAAAGGGAAGCCTGGTTTATTCCTCATCCAAATCGGAAATTGTGCTTGATACTTCAGGCAGTCATTCTTTTCTACAATGCCTTGGATTAATGGGCTGCTCAGACCAAAAGGAACATTTGTTTCTCATGTGATCAATATGTTCCATGTAAACATTCTCAGTTTGGGGATGAGATCCAAGTTTTATTTTAAACTTCGTGTATTTTTTTCTTCTTCTTTTGAACAGAGTGATGCAGCATGCCAACCCTTTGTGCACTGAAACACACCACCAAATGCTCTCCAGAATTGAGCCACAGGGTCAGGGTGTCTGGCGCTTGGTTGGGAGGGGCATGCACAGGGTGGGCATTGGGCAGGAGTGGATGCTCTGGGGCCTTCTGTTGTGCTAAGCTTGTGCATTATCACACTGATTCTCTTACATTGCAGATGAGAAAGCAAAACTCGGTTCAGAAAAGGCAGACAGCTGGCTGGCCTGTTCCTGGACGCTGGACCAGAGCTCAATGGCATGAGTATCCGAGACCCTGCTGGATCAGCACCTCTATTCCCAAAGAGCAAACCTCAAAGTCATCACTGTTGCTCTTGTGTGGAGTTAGATAATTTGGACCACAAACCGCAGTTGTCACAAAGGACTCAAATTAGGCTCTTGGAAAGCCTCTAATAGTATTAGCACCATCAGCCGCAGCCATGTCATGGAGTCAGGGAATGGCCTCTCTATGTGAGAACAGAGCAGTACCTCCCTGAGTCACACATGAGCAGGTCAGTGCTCCAACCTACATTCCAGGAAACAAGGAACTCAGGATCCAGTTCCCAAACCAGCTCTGGCCACAGTCCCACAGTCTTAAATGGGCCAAGAATGCCCCAGCCTACCTCATGTCATGGATGCAGATACCACATCATAGTCTGTAAATGTCAGGTATTTTAGGCAGTATTTTAGCAAAATATCATTATTTATATTCAAATTGTTGGGAAGAAAATAAAAATATTTAGGTGTAAAGTTGATTTTACCTCCCTTCTCTGCTCTGTGCTTTTTCTGGTGTTTACATATTTATTTACAGGTAACACCAGAACTACCAATTGGTGGAACAGACAGGACTCATGTTTAAAGCATATGTCAGAGATGCACACCTAGTATATGGACACTGTTTGGAAACTGAGCACAGGTTCACAGAAAGAACACCCACAGAGTGGAGGTCCAATGCCCCAGAACCTCACCAGGGACAGTCTAGGGCTCATCCTAGTGGTCCTGTTATCTCAAGCAGTCACAACAATGGCTTAGCACAAAGAACTCCTCAAAAGAATAAGACCTGGCCTTCATAAAGGCCTGAGAATTGTGCCCACATGCCTCACTCTAGCCCAGTTCACTTGTTTTTGTTGTATTGTGGCACATAAAGGAGCAGCAGAAATCTAAGAGGAAGCCAATAGTGTGGTAGTGGGGCCCATGGGCACTGGAGGCCACCTATTCCTCTACTGTTCCCCTGATATCCAAGAGCCTGAGCTCAGTTGCTGTTGGAGCTCAATAGCATGGGGGCCAGAGACCATTTGGTATCCACTGGCTCAAGGGCAGCTGTGGAGTAACAGTGAGGCACAGGCCTACCTGCTTACCAGGCCTCACCTGAGAAGGATTGGGAATGCATGTAAACTGGGCTGCACAGAGCCTGTGTCCTACCATGGATGGGGTTGGCTGGGCTGCAACCAAGCACATAGAAATTCACAGGGGTCATGAGACCATTAGTACTGATGGATTTAGGGATACTGTGTGCTATGACTCATTCTCTGCTTGCCATTCCATTTGGAAATGTCCTATTGGGAGCAATACAGCTAAGGAGACATGTAATTCCAGTGTAATTCAAGTCTGATCTTCTAAGTGATCAACTGGCATTTTTTGGAAGGTTTAAGGGGTATTTTCTATGTAGAAAGATTGCCATAGCTGCTGCTCAAGGGCCTACTGGGCACGAAGGGTGCTACCACAGTAGACGCAGAGTACCAGGTGTCTGTGCTAGTTGTGAGATGGGTATTCCATTTTTTAAGTTATATGTCATTATCAAAAGCAAAATAAGTCAAAAAAAGAAGCAAAACACAGAAAACCAAATGGCAGCCCAGAAGCCCAGGCCCACCTGGAGAATGCATGCATGCTTAGATATGGAATCCTGTGAAATCACCAGGGATTCACCATGATGCAGAAGCCCTGGATGGCTTACCCTCCCTAGAGCCAGAACCATGGCTCTCATTAAATCAACTCTTCATTCTATGATATGTGATTTTTAATCCAAACGAAAGCCCATTAGTCACTGGCACATTCATCTCCCAATGTCTTCTCTCACCTCTGCCTTGGCTTACAAGAAACAGGTCAAATTGTTTTGCCAGAAGGAAGAGAAATGGAAATTGCAGAGAATGGCAGGAAAATGCCAGGAACAATGGAGGACAAGCTGGTGTGGGACTGAGGCCAGCAGAGGCAAGGCTCCAGAAGAAGATGCTACCAACAGGTGGAGGTTCCTGCACTCTAGAACCCAGATGAATCAGAAACAGTTCCAGAGAGGGGTAGAGCTAGGGTAGAGCCTCCAGGCCAGGGTCCTCCCTCTCAAGCAGGGGCCCATAGCCTGTATCTCTTGAAAAGCCCCACTTTGCTTCTGTATGGCAGGTCCAGGCAGGCCTAAGGCTCTACAGGTAAGACCATCCTTGTAGTGGAGCTGAAGCTGAAGGCCCCAGGACCTCCTGTGGGTGGCAATATTCAGACTGTCCCACTGGAGCAACAGGAAGACATGAGCTTCTCCTGACCCAGGTGATCCTGGCTTTGTAGAATTTGAGCAGAGCTGCCCTGATATTGCTGTATGTGCTTAGGCACTTAACAGTTATGACAAAGTAGGTTTAAAGATCAAGACATTTTATGAGGGCCAATTTATTCATTTGTATCTGCCTTTAATTTCAGGGAAAAACTTGGCTAAAAACAAAGGGTTATTAAAGGTACTATACACCTGTCCTTTCCTCTGTCAAATAGTGACCTGGGACTTGTCTGTGCTGTGAAAAAGTTGCATTGTACTTCACAAGGTTCAGTCAGAAGCCACACTGATTTGTGAACTTTAAACACTTTTTGGATTAAAATGTCAACTCCATTGCATGATATTTGTTCATGATTTGGAAAGAGACCAAGATATATAAATTTTACGACTTGCAAAGCATAAACCATATGTTGGGGAAATATATAAAGCTATTTTATGCAGTATAGAAAGGATTAGAAATGTCATTGACTTTTGTTGTGAAGACTCAATTTGCAAGGTGTAATGTAAGTAACACACAATTACTCCTGTGGAATTGGGGAAGTTCTGTTTCTTCCTCCCTCCCTCTCTCATCTCTCCTCCAATACTCCTCCTGCCACTATGTGAAAGATGTGCTGCTGAGATCGGGATTTCACAGGGAGAAAGTTTCTGCACATCATTCTTTTTGAGCCTCTTCATCTCTTTTTTGCTGCACTCTGACTTCAGAACCAGGCCTTTATGTCTGGCCTGCTTGCTCCTTGTCCAGCTTTGCTGCTCCTGCTCATGGCTTCTATCCCAATGTGCTGAGGGCCACAATTCTCTTCAGTCATGCTTCAAAATGGCCCTGAAATAATCACAAAGTGACACTAAAATTACTATAAACATTGTGAGGTGGTATCATGACATTCTATAACTGGGACCTCCATACTCAAGCCTATCTCAAAGCACAGAAGAGGAGAAACATGTTGTGACATCCAGGAGCCCAAAATGTGCATAGGGAAGAGTAAACACAGCCATGCAGAAAGCCAAGTGGTGTTCCCAGCTGTACCCCATGACATTGGCCCAAATCTTTCAGATGTAACTTCTAGAAGGTGCTTAGGAGGAGCACAATCATGCAAATAAGGGATAACAGCCCCCGAGTGACCTTGCCCTGGCCTGGGAAGCTCCTGTGTCATCAAAATCAAACGAAGATGGATGGCTGACTCCTTTGGCCCTATATCATTAAACAACAGCATGTTCATAGAGAAAGATAAGCAGAGTGGCCACATGTAGGAGTGGGGCTTGAGGTGTGTGACTTGTGGAGGGCTAGAGAAAAGCATCCATGACAGCTGGCATCTCTGAAATCCTTCCATGTGGGAAAGGAACAAGGTCAGTCACAGCCCAGCATTGCCCTTGCAGGCTGAGGAGGGAGTGGGGACAGGACCCACCTTCAGAGTGGTCGCAGAGGGCACCAGTCTTTACATTCCAGTCAATATTATTCTAAGGTTTAGTCCTGGCCTTGTCATTCTCCCAAAGACAGTCACTACATGTTGTAATGTCCACCTCTGTGAATTTATCTTCTCTGCTTTGAAATAATACAAACTTTTCCCATTATCTAAACAGTAGTAGCCAGTACCAAGGGGTCGAAGGGATCAGAGTCTCACCCAAATCAAGAACCTTGCCATAATAATCAGCACCCAGTGACTACAGACACAAGATTAGGCTGCTACTTGCCAGAGGCAAGGGTTCAGGAAAGCCAAGTATACAAAGAGCCTTTGGGCTGGAGTTCTTCTTTTCTTCATTAGAAAGTTGTTGGGTCTCCCTTTAAGATTGCATGCATCTTAGGGAAGTTAATTGAACTATCAGCAAAAAAAATTTATAACCTTTCATAAACAAAATTGCTTTTAGCTTTGTACATAAACTCCCACAAAGCTCATCTCTGGGGCTTGCTGACTGCTCAACACTTCAGATGCACCTGGGGTCACTACTCAGACCATGGCTCTGTTCCCAGGGAGTGCTGTACTGAAGGTATCATCCCATCTTGGGCAACATGAGAGTGGGCTCATCACTGTCACACAGCTTTAGAAACAAGATCTCAAAATAGCCTGAGCTCAGTAATGTGGGCTGTATAGACAGATGTGACTAGAAACAGGAAGCCCAGGATACTTCACCACACTCTCCTCAGCTGCATTAAAAAATAGGTACCTAGGAACACAAAGCCTAGGGTCCTGCACCACTCATCCTCAGGTACTTCTCTTTGGGCTGCTCTGTGTTCTTTAAGCCTCATCATCATGTCCTAGGTGGTTGCTGACATCCTCATCTCACTAAGAGGCATCTGAGTCTCATGTGATTCAATGTTTTCATCAGGTCCCACAGGAAGAGGCTTCTAGAGCAGAGATCTGGATCCAGGCAGGTTTGCCTTTGCTCTCTGAAACCATCTGCACCATGAGGACTGCACACCTGGAAAGGCAGACCTCACTCCTGTTCTGACACCTGGCCAAAGCACAGGCACAGGATTGCACGTGCTCACACACTAGAAATCCTTCCTGGGACAGTCACCTGCCAGGCCTCCTCAGGCCACTGAGGAATGATGGGCCACTGAAGAAATGAAGCCATGGCCCTGAGTTTTGAAAGCCACTTTTGCTGGTTGCATTTTGTTATTCAGCTTGCTTATAAAGGTACCAGGAGTAATTTCAAGTCTACCCTTCCCTGTTTTACATCCTTCAAAACCCCTGAGTTAAGCAAAACAATGAGAAATATATAGGATCTGGATAAAAACCTAGAGCCATGGATTATGGGAAATGGCTTATGTAGAAGAAGGAATAGAAGCACATGCACTGGGAACACAGTCCTCCCAGGTGTCTCACTGGAAGTAGAAGGAGCCCCTGCCTCAGCTTCCCAGATGTCTTCACCCCATGCAGCTCATGGGCAACTGCACACAGGAGCGATTCCAACTTCCCACAACCCAAAGCTCAGAAAGCCTCATTTTCTATCTGAACTCAACCAGTGCACTGTAGATTGTTGTTCTAACTTAGGTCACCTAGCCTGACTTCCTCACAAAGAGGAATGGAAAATCTTGGAAAATAATGGAGTCACCCAACTGTGCTCACTCCTGCTCAAATTCCTTTACACTAATTATGCACCTGGGTAATGCACACATAAGAAGGGAACTCCTTTGCACTTGAACAAAATAGTAAAATTCTGAATGCTTTGCAGTGATACCTATTTCTCCTTTTAAAGAATCTTAAATATAGGACTGAAAGTTGGGACTAGGGTGGTGGCTCAGCGGTAGAGTGCTCACCTAGCATGTGCAAGGCCCTGAGTTCCATCCTCAGCACCACATAGATAAAATAAAAGTTTTGTGTCCAACTATGACTAAAAAATAAAAATAAAAATAAATTTTAAAAAGAAAGTAAAGCAACAAGCATTGTATTGTACTACAGTTTAAAGAGATGCCCTTCAGCAGCAGTTGACATTGGGGTATGACAAACTCACTGAGCTCCATCTGCCGGGGCTTGTGTTATATGCCAACCTGAGTGTACTGACCATCCTAAGGAGGACAGGTATGGTCACAGGGAGCAGGTGGCCTGCTCTGCCTCAGTCTCTCCTTTGGGGTTTTGTGGTCATTACCTTCCAACTATTCCCAGCCCCCCACTCTCTGCTGTGTCTTCCACATGGGATCATGTCTCCCTAAACCAAAAGTAGAACTGAACCATTTACAGAAGTTCATCAGCTGCAGGAGAGCAAAACTCAGCATGGTTACCACAGGGCTGGTACAGCTGGGGAGTACTCCTGGTACCCAACACTTCACAGAGAGTCCCTCAGAAGATCATCCCAGACAGGCAGGCTCTGTGATAGGTCTGGGAGAATATGCGCCTCTTTTCTGAGATCATTAATAAGAAGTCCAGTGTCTGGAGAAGCCCTGTGGAGCCTAGGCTTCTATTAGCAATGCTCTTTGTGTAGTTTGAAGTATTCTAGGCAAAAATATCATCCTGGGCCTAGCACACTCTTGGAGACAAGAAGACCTTTCAAGAACTTACCAAGCCATTTTTGTCACCTTTAAAATGGGTGTAAGGATTTCTAATGAATAAGAACTAGGTAAATCAGCCATTAGATATGAGGAAGTCAAGCAAGGGCACGATGCCTATAAAGAGCAGTTCCTGTCCTCTGTAGTCTCACCCCTGCAAACCCAAGACATGGGGACATAGCAACATCATTCTTCTATGGGCAGATATTGTCCAACTCCTGGGCCTTTGCACACATCAATCCTCCATTCAGGAGATTTAGGGAACTCCCACATTCCAGGCACCCTGTAGATGGCTCCAGTTCCCTCAGTGCTATGGGTTACAGCTGGTACTCAGGATTATACTTAATGCTGGGATCTCTCCTCATCTTAGAATGATCCAGAACTCAGCTTACTGTGAAAGGAGTACTAAAAGAGGCAATGATCTTTGTTAAAATTGTTTTGTGATTTAAAAATCCAGTCTTCTGTTTCTACTGAGCATCTACCAGAACAGCTTTTGAGATGCTGCTAGAAGCCCTCATTCCTGCTAGACTTCATTCTTACCATCCTAAGTGAGTTCCCACCATTAGAAATTACTTTCTTTCAGTTAAGGAATTGTCCCTATTAAAATGCAGAAATGTAAGTAGCCAAAACACTTGTCACTAATCAACACCTCTCCACCTGTCAGCCCTAGGTCTCTGTTGTAGCTGATCTCAACTCTTTTTAAGCCCAGGAACGCTGCCTCCTGGAGGGCAGAAACTAGACACCTCCCTAGCCTCCTTCACTCAGATAAAATAGGTGGGAAAGGTGTTTGGTCTGCAGTGTGCTGTATATGGTTATCTAAAACATGAAAGAAAGTGATGAACACAGATGAAGGACCTATTGCTGTAAATAGTGAAAGAAAGATCTAGAATGTGCTTCAATCATAGGTAGGATTAAGAAGGCTGATGTGAAATTCTTTATGCTTATATATCAATGCAGGCAATCTTCATCTTAGAGAGGTGTGTGGGTGCCAAGGTCTGGTGCTCCGCTGGCTTTTTGGTCAGCTGGGCCAGAGAAGACCATCCTGGAGCCAGCTGAGAAGAGAAAGAGGAACTCAGGAGAGAGTGCTGTGTGAAGCCTGAGGCCAGGGCTCTCAGGGAGAGTGGGCTGCAGGGCGAGACTGGGACAGGGCTTTTGGTGACATTAGTCAAGAACTGGCCTTAAGAGGCAGAGGTCTTAATCTCAGGACACCTTCACGCCAGGGGCATGGGAAGGAGAGGCCAAGCCACACCTACACAGCATTGAGCTACAAGTGCTGGGGAAACACCTTCCTCCCACAACTGCCACTGGCAATGCCTTGGGAGCATGTCTCTCCATGGTCTTGGCTGCTGTCCCCTTCACCTAGCAGAGGCAAAGCACTCATATTCACTGATGCAGGTGTTGTCCAGGTCAGTGGCACTAAACCCCATTATCTCACTTCTTCACACAGTTCAAGACCTCTGAAAGGAATGTTAGCAGAAACAAACATCCCATTCTGCTTCTACCCCCACAAAAATCCCATTCTGCTTCTACCCCTCATGTTAGTATTTCCCTTAAGTTGATAAATTTTTATGTATCCATCTTTCACCTCCTTGGTCTAATCTTTAAAAAAAGAGAGAAAGAGGGAGAGAAGGAGAGAAAGAAGAGAGATAAAAAGCTAAGTTTCAGGGGCTGGGATTGTGGCTCAGTGGTACAGAGCTTGCTTAGCACATGTAAGACCCTGGGTTCGATCCTCAGCACCACATAACAATAAATAAATAAAGGTACTGTATCCAATTACAACTAAAAAATGAATATTTTTAAAAAAAACAAGTTTCAGTTTGTGCAGGACAGAACAGTGT